TTAGCCTAGTTTATCTTAGGCCAATTAAGATAGGGAAACAATTTAAAATTGCTGACAACAACTGATCGTGTGAGGCTTCTTATCAGATCCTACAACCTCAGAGATTTCAGGTATGTTAATCCCCAGTTGTCAAATGCAGGATAGGATTTGTGGCTTTGAGGTTTTTGTTGAAGTACCAGACCAGGAAAGGCAATTTTACAGTACCAGAAAGAACACTTCAGATGGAAGTAATGACAAAATATGCCACTAGGGGGTGAATGAACCTTGTAAACCCTACTACGTATTTGTTTTTTTGTTTTTTATTATCACAATTCATCATTTAGGTAATGAATTAATAATTATAATTCAACAAGTTAAACATTTTCATTTTTATTGTTGACAGCAGTAGATTAATCTATCCATTTCTAGTATTTAACATTAATCATTTAACCTTTAAACTCAATATTCCAAGCCTTGTCTCATACCAGCTTTCAGATTTATATAAAGCAGAAATGACCATATCATGAAACAGTTGTTTTCACCCATTATTCTGAGGCAGAATGGTATTTTCCTAGCCCCCCCCCAGCCCTGTTTTTGAAATTGGTCTAATTTTTCCACCAGGACCAAACACGGCTGACGCCATTTAGCAGTAGATGAAGCTGGAGAATCCTTTAACCTTTAGATGTTTTGGAATTCCTTCATGCCTTCGCTTGCACTGGACTGTGGGAGTTGTATCCAAAACGCACGGAGAGCCGCATGTTCGACAGCTCTGTAGTAAAGGATGAGGGTAGGTGGCAATAAAGCCAAGCAAAGGAAGCTATTATGCTAAGATAGAAATGCTGGATAGCATGGTATTTGGAGAATACCTATAGAAACCGTGTCGCAGTGAATTCCTCTGAAGCGGCTTCTGTTTGCCAGAGATAACGTCAAAATGCACAATCAGAACTTTCCAGCTGAGTATGACTGAGAAAGTTGCTAATTAATCTGCTTTTTCCGAGGTAAAGCAGTTAGCACCAGCAATATGGGAGTCAACCTTCCGAGGGGACTTTAGCATAATGCATTTTCTCCTGTGCGAACATTGCAAAGATTAAAGGTTATTCATGCACTTCAGATAATGCGTTTGTTTTCCTGATGCTTGTTTTATCATCGCTTGCTTTGTGGCATTTCCTTGTCAGAAGAAACAAGAGCTTTCACGAGACAACAGAAAGCATTTGTTTCCTATACAACCTTCAAAGCTTGCTTTTCAGGGTGCGATATAGGTAGAAACACTTTTAAAATAACAATAATATATGGCTTGGTGAAAGGAAAGGTCTTAATGCTGAAAAGACAGAGAAGTCAATACTAAGCAAGCATCTATAGGAAAGGTGCTTAGGGCCAGGGAAACATAAACAAAGTGCCACAACTGTCTCTCATCACCATGTGCCTAATTGTAGTATTAATGTATCCCATGATCTCCCACTACTTCTTACACAAAGCCCAATGTTACAGTGGTGCCTCGCTAGACGATTACCTCGCAAAACAGTTAATTCGCAAGACGATGGGTTTTTGCGATCGCTATAGTGCTTTGCAAAACGGTTTTCCCTATGGGCGATTTTCGCTAGATAATGTTTCGGTCCGTGCTTCGCAAGACGGGTTTTTTTGGGGGGGGGACGGTTTTTCACAAGACGACAATTTTGACAGCTGAGTCCGCACTTCGCAAAATGGTTTTTTAAGGGATGGTTTTTCGCAAGATAGCGATTTTGACACCTGGGTCCGCGCTTTGCAAAACGGTTTTCCTATGGGCGATTTTCGCAAGACGATGATTTTCCCCCCATTGGAACACATTAAATAGTTTTCAGTGCATTCCAGTGGGGAATTGCATTTCACAAGACGATGTTTTCACAAGACAGCGATTTTCGCGAAATGAATTAACATCGTCTTGCAAGGCACCACTGTATATATTTTTATTTTGGGGGGGGGGAATCTTGTGTTCAGATAAATGACATCACTCTATATTCTGTGTATCTTTTTCATATACAGTAATTTAATTTCTATCCCATCCATTTTTAAATGCAGGGACCCAAGATGGCCCATAAAAATTATTTTTTAAAAAAATGATACAGAATATTAAAATGCAATTAGGATGTGAAAATCATGAAACACTACTTAATAGTATATTTCCAAAACACTGATTAAAAAAATGATTCCTAAAAATGCAGCAACTCCCATTGGGAGCTCCTGTCACTGCAGCTGACTCAGTTGCCAAAAGACTGCCTGAAGAGAGGGGTCGTTGCTGCCCTACAAAGGATAGGAGGAGAAAGTTAACTTCCATTGAAGGAAATTCTACAGGCTGGACCAGCCACTGACCAGACTCTCTCTCCTGGCCTCACCTGTGAGGGTGGTCCTATCAAGAGAAGACCTTTCCTGAAGATCTTAAGATAGGAAAGGTTCATAATGGGAGATGTGGCCCTTCAAATAACAGGGATCCTGGTCTTACAGGTATGTATATAAATCATAACTCACACTTTGAACTGGGCTTTGAAACAGGCCATTAGCAAATGGATTGTTTTAATGGCAGAGTTATATATTTTCTGTAAATAACCCCTTCCAACAAGCCGGCTGCATCATATTAGCTTAAACAGAAACCATTTTGTTTTAATTGACTTCATCTTCTTTGTGAATTTGCGCCAGGCCAGTGCCTGCTACAAGAAGAAAATGATCACACTTTGAACTGGGCTTTGAAACAGGCCATTAGCAAATGGATTGTTTTAATGGCAGAGTTATATATTTTCTGTAAATAACCCCTTCCAACAAGCCGGCTGCATCATATTAGCTTAAACAGAAACCATTTTGTTTTAATTGACTTCATCTTCTTTGTGAATTTGCGCCAGGCTAGTGCCTGCTAGAAGAAGTAAATGAAGGTGGATAGCTCAGTGGTTTGGGTCTCTGGCGAGTCAGAGGCTGGGAGTTCGATTCCTCACAGTGTCTTCCTCACTAGGGGCTGGATTCAGTGATCCGTAGGGTCCCTTTCAGGTCTGCTGTTCTAAGATCTAAGTTGCCTAGGTGGTTTCTAAATATTCACATTGAATTTATATCACTGTATATTTATGTGACGTGGTGGCGCTGTGGGTTAAAACACAGAAGCCTCTGTGCTGCAAGGTCGGAAGACCACCAGTTGTAAGATCAAATCCCCATGATGGAGTGAGCTCCCGCCACTTGTACCAGCTCCTGCCTACTTAGCAGTTCGAAAGCATGCAAAATGGAAAAATTATGAGTAGATAAATAGGTACCACCTCGGTGGGAAGGTAACGGTGTTCCGTGTCTAGTCACGCTGGCCACGTGACCACGGAAACTGTCTTTGGACAAACGCTGGCTCTATGGCTTGGAGACAGGGATGAGTACCATGCCCTAGCGTCAGACACGACTGGATTAAATGTCAAGGGGAACCTTTACCTATATTTATGTGATTTACAGTGATGTCGTGATACATGTTAAAGTGCAGTCACTCATCTTGGCCGTTCTCACAAGCAAGCCAACAAAGGAAGTCCAGAATGCAGATAGCTGTTTTGATCTACATCAATAGACAGGATTCGCCATTTTTTTCAGGAAGCTGGGGGTTGTAGTAAAAAAAAATTTCCAGAGCTTTGATAAATCCATTCTTGGTGCTGAGACTTTATCACTTCTGTATTTTGGGAGACTTTCCGTATCACACACGGCCGGATATGCTTCAGGTTTGAACTTCTGCAATGCCCTGTACAGAAGATGCAGGAGAAGCATCTCGTATGGTTTTCATGAGATTTCCATCATGCACACCCCTTGAGTCCTTCCCAAATCGACAACAAAGTTAGGTTTTTGTTTTTTAAAAATATGGATTTAGATCCACTCCTTTAACAAATGCTTCTGATCCAGGAATTACAATCGCTGGGTGTGAGCCTGGGGAGGAGCAAAGTCTTCTGGAATTCCAAGCCCAGGTCTTTGGACTGTGTGGTTAATTCATAACAGATCCACTGCTGGAGCAGAGATGAGACGGAATCCTCTGTGACGGTGTGCGGGGACTGGATGGAGCTGGGTACGACTGTGAGTTCATTCGCTAGTCTCTCCGGAGTTAACCGCTGTCGTTAGTTAGTCTGTGAAGAAGTCATCGGTCCCGGTGAGCTAAGTGGCAGGGGGAAAAGGGGGGGCAGCACAGCTGGATAAGCTGAATGGAATGCAAAGATGAAAGGCCACCAAGTGCATTCATGTTATTTGTCACTTTGAAAGCACATCTTCATAGGTAACAAATAACATATAGTCTGTACAGTCAGGGGCCGGTCCTATTATTAGTAAGGCAACTGATTTAAGCTGCAGATGATGGGAGGTGGCATCTTCTCCTGGATGTCATGGGCTTTCTTTTTTCTTGAGGTACAGATCCTATGCGTTGCCTCTTGTGGAAGACCCTCCCATGACCGGTGTTGAAGTCCCGGTCCAGTCTTTGTTTGAACCAGTTCTGTCCATGGCATAGAAATGGGCTCATGAACTTGTGCTTAGTTTCAAGCCGCAGTACGACTCAGATCAACTCTCAGTCACATTCCGCCCTGCCCGTGGGCTAGAGAATTTCGTTCCTTGAGGGCAGAATTCAAGAACCCCCAAAGATGGCAATCTTCCCATGGTCCTTCTCGCCCCCCCGAGTAGCCCAAAAGTCTGTGCATTCGTTCGTTCATTCACTACGTAGCAGATTCTGTGCCCCAGCACAGCCCTTTGTAAGTAATTCATCACAATTGTGATAGGGCTTTTGTTAGAAAAGAGCAGCTTGTTGCATTAAACATGCTTTTGTGTTACTTTTCATCACTGTAATAGTAGTAGTGATAATTCCATGGCTTAACTCTTGAAAAATGCATCTAACTAGGTCCCTAAAACACTTCTAAAATTTAATTTATAAAGAGAACTAGAAAATATTATTTGTTGTACCCTTAGGTGAGTTCCTCCCCTCTCGTTTGATTACTTTTGAAGTATAATTTCATTACGCCCTTGTTTCTCTCTCCACCCCCCACCCCCTGTTACAGGCTAGTCATTGCTTCTAAGATGCCGGTTCTACACTTTGCCCGGGCCTAAGAGTACCCAGCTAAGGACTGCTGCGGTGGGTTTATTTTTGTTGGCTTGCTTGCTTGCTTACTTACTTGCTTGCTTGCTTGCTTGCTTGGCTGGCTGGCTGGCTGGCTGGCTGAGTGATTGATTGATTGATTGATTGACTGATTGATTGATTGATTGATTGACTGATTGATTGATTGATTGATTGACTGATTGATTGATTGATTGATTCAGGCCATTTTGGGTGGTTTACGATTGATTTCTATACCACCCATCTGGCAACCCAGGCCATTTTGGGCAGTTTACATAGCAGAATAAAACAGAGTATAAAAACAAAACAATACAATAACAGAACAACTTATAACTTAATCAATACAATATGAAACCAATAAAAAATAATATCAGTAAACATTAAAATAAGAAAAGGAAAAAGATGGTGGGGGTTGAACGTTAACGGTTGAATCGAGATCAAGCAGAGTCCAGGAAGGCCTGTCTGGATAAAAATGTTTTTAATCATCATCACCTAAAAGCTCCCAGTGAGGGCAACAAGCGAATTCCGGGCAGGAGAGCATTCCGCAATTGCGGGGCTACCGCCGAGAAGGCCCTGTTTCTGCTCATGTACCTCTGAGCGTCTCTTGGAGCCAGAACCCTCACACAGCCCAGCCTGGGAAGATCTGACTCCTTGAGAGTAGGAAGGCATCCTGGCCTGCATCCCTTCTCCAGCTGATGCTCTTCCACCTCTTGTCTCCTGCTCCATTCAGCTGCTGAGATGGGAGAAGTCAGGGTTTCCCTTGAAGATGGAGGAGGTCTGGTCAACCCTGCGCTGGAACTTACGGTAAATTCTCTTCCCCTTACAAACGCCGGTGATACCTTCTTCCTCCCAAAGATAACGATGACTGTGCTCTTGGCAGGAAGCAGAAGGAAATCCAGGGATCAAAAAGAATGGCTGTTCATCTGAGCTTATAGAAGAAAATAACGCACAACCTGCTCCTAGCCAAAGGTACAGTCAACAAGGGAGAGCCCCGTTTAGATACCACCAACAACCCCACCCGCCCCCGGCTTGTGGAATGCAAGGAGGAGGATCATCCACACCCTGAGTTTTTTATATCCACCCCGTGGCACTTAAGCAAGGCTTGAAGGGGCATCATGTAAGCCTCTTCGTCGGATATCCCAGTCCACCCTAGAGAGCATGGATGCAGAACTGATAGCCTCTATGCCCATCCTGCTCTTCAACATGGAGCAGTTCCACTTTAAATCCTTCCCTTTGTGCATGGATTTTAATTTTCTTTCCAATGCGATTCTCCTCAGATATAAGAGCCTGGCTCAACCTTTTTCAAAAGCGAGGAGCTTTTGCACGGCTCACCAGAAGCTGCTTGAGAAAATCATCATTGGCATCCTGTGCATAGGTGAGAACTTGACACGAGCAGGTTTTGGGGAGAGGAGGCGCCGAGCGACACAGCCATAAACTTCGAAATGCAGGAACACATCATGACCCACTGTCTGCATGGAGACAGACACAGGGTTTGGAAAAGAGACTTATGTAGACTACTGTTCCCGGAACTGCCCCAGCCAACATGGTCATGCAAGGCAGGGAATTATGGGAGTTGTGTTCTACAAAACTCAGCTCCGACCATACTATCCACTATCCACCAAATAGTACTGGGTCACAGCATCACACTCAATGTAGGGGAGAAGACTTCCTGGAAAAAAGTACTGGGTCACAGCATCACACTCAATGTGGGGGGGATCAGTACAGGCTACATGGTATGCATAATTGCCTGGGAGAGGGAACAGAAGACTCACTGGAAAAGACCCTGATGTTGGGAAAGAGTGAAGGCAAGAGGAGAAGGGGACGACAGAGGATGAGATGGCTGGACAGTGTCATCGAAGCAACCAACATGAATTTGACCCAACTCTGGGAGGCAGTGGAAGATAGGAGGGCCTGGCGTGCTCTGGTCCGTGGGGTCACGAAGAGTCGGACAGGACTGAACGACTAAACAACAACAAAACTCATTGAGCCTTCATTAAAGAGGTTCGACTTGCTAAAATACATCCTTTTAGAAATTCAAAGTCTAGCTTAGGGCTGAGGAGCCCCAAGAATCTTGCACATTTCGTTTCCCACTTGAGCTGCTGCAACGGAGAGGCGTTTCGAGTGAAGAAAGCTCTCCTTGTTATCTTTTACTTTAAGACAATTTGGTATCTAAGAGGATGCAGACAATAATATCTGATAACGGTGAGAGGGAATGCAACCCTGCGCTGTGGATGATGGGTTTGACCCACCGGTCTTGCAACTCATGGGCTCTTGTGTCTCACCTTTTTAGCCTACCTGGCCTACTTCATTGCAGCCTGTTGGCTGGATTTCCATCGTGCCTTGGCTCTGGTGGTTTTAACCAGCTTGGGGATCTGTTACCTGGCCGTTCACCTGGTGAAGAAATGGTGGGGCTCCAAGATTGCGCAGATGCTGAGCCCTTGCGGGAGATGCTGTCAGAGGTCCTGGAGGTGGCTCAAATGGTGAGTACATGACTAATCGCCTGCATAGATCTAGTAGATGGAGGAGAGGCTACTTGGCCTGTAGCTATGAAGAAATCTTTCCACCCTAGAAATACCTGCCTGGGGTGGGGAAAACAAGCATTTCTCTAGGATACACAGTAAGATTCCCTTATCTGCAGGATCAGCATTCACTGGTTCACTTATCCACTTTCTGAAAATATTAAAAGAAAAATTCCCAGAAATATGTATTTTTAAAGGTGACGTTACTTGAATTGGCCACTAGAGGGGGCCAGAAACCATGTACAATGGTGCCCCGCTTGATGACGACCCCGTTAGACGACAAAATCACTTTACGATGACAATGTTTCTATGGGGTTTTTTCGCTTAACGTTGATTCGGTCCCTGCTTCGGGAACCGATTTTTCGTTTCACAACAATCTTTACAGTTGATTGTCGGGTTTTCAAAATGGCCTCCCGCTGTTTTCCGGACCTATTTCCGGAAGACAGCGATCGAAAATGGCTTCCCCTATGGAGGATCTTCGCAAAACGAGCAGGTATTTCCCCCACTGGAACGCATTAACCAGTTTTTAATGTGTTCCAATGTTTTTTTTAACTTTCGCTTGACGACGATTTTGCTTAACAGCGATTTTAATGGAACGGATTATCGTTGTCAAGCGGGACACCACTGTATAAGTACAGTGTAGTGTTTGCTACTAAAATAGCATTCACTATCGTCTATGGTTTTCAGCATCCTCGGGGCGAGAGGCAGGGCTTGCTACCGATCCCCTGCAGATACAGGGGTCCCACTGCACATGTCTAGGACTGGAGATGGGACTCTCCCTGTGCAAATCGTGTGCTTTGCCATGGAGCTGTGGCCCATTCCAGAGATGAGCCTTGTGCCCATCCAGCCAAACCTGTCTCAGTGTATCCCCCTGACCTGTTTTCTCCCCAGGGTGTTGTGCGCGCTCCTTTTGATCGGTCTCATCACCTGGCTGGTTCTTGACATGTCCGAGAAGCGAGAGCAGCTAGTGTCCCTCGGGGGCTTCGCTGTGCTGGTGTTGATGCTCTTTGCCAGCTCCAAGCACCATAGCGCTGTAAGTGGTAGCTTTTGCCTGTGTTTGGGGTCTTTACACATGAAGAGAAATGACGGGTGACATGTCCGAGAAGCGAGAGCAGCTAGTGTCCCTCGGGGGCTTCGCTGTGCTGGTGTTGATGCTCTTTGCCAGCTCCAAGCACCATAGTGCTGTAAGTGGTAACTTTTGCCTGTGTTTGGATCTGTGTTTGAAGAGAAATGACGGGCAGTTGCCTTATCCTCCTCCTCCTCCTCTCCTCTTGCTTTTCCTTGTTTCTCTTCCTCCTGCTGTCACATGTGAAAGCCAATGCACTTATAGTATGCCAGAGAACACTCCCCCACTGAATTTAGGCAGACATCCTTTGGGGTGATCGTGCCTCTGATGTGGGCTGGTATCGCCAAAGCCATTTAAATAAAATCTGCAGAGAGGTGAAGAAAAATCACTCTTTGATTTACTGTATATCCTGCCTTTCCTCAAAATGATCCCATGGCAGCAAACAATTTTCATTAGCATTTGAGCATAATACAGCACAAATACTTGTCAGTCGCATAACGTACCAGCAGTATGACAGTGGAACCCATGGCCACAGGGGGAGGTGTTGAGCGCTTCAACGCTGGAGGCATTCAAGAGAAAATTGGACCACACTCGGTCAGATCTGTTTTGATTTGGATTCCTGCATTGAGTAGGGGGTCAGACTAGATGGCCTTAGAGGCCCTATCCAACTCCGTTATTTTATGACTCTATGATCAGTATGAGAGCCCTGCTGATCAAAGGCCTATCTAGTCCAGTATTCTGTTTCCACACTGGCCAAGCAGAAGCTCCAAAGGGAAGCCTTCAAGCTGAAGAGCCTACCACCAGCATTCTCCAGCAATTGGCATTCAGAGGTTTTCTCCCTCTCAACCTGGAAGTAACATATAGACATTGCGACCGTTAAAAGCGATCTTATGCTCTATTGGTTTGCTCACTTAAAGCATTTGTGGCTCACCCGAAGTCTGTTGCATCCTGTTGGATCAGCAGGAATTTGAGCAGCCATCTTTTGACCCTTGAGTGTCAGATTAGAGTCACACACTCTAATCTTTACCACTCTCTCAAGTGGTAAAAATGTTTCCCATAGCGTACACCTTTCCTCACCTCTATATGTTGCATTTACTTGTTTTGTGAAGGGAATGTAAACACAAACTTACTTTGCAAATCTAATTGCTTATGCATACATCTCTGAGGAAATCCTGTAGGCAGAGGGAGAGTGTGGTCATTGCAAGAGAATATGCATTCCCCTTAATGTTTATTTTGACCTTCAGTATCTGCAGACTTAGTTGCAGATTGGATAATACCTCCACCTTCTCCTCCAATGAGCCCCAGATATCAGTGTGTGCTCTGTTTATACAGAGATTTCTACTTTTCTAACACTGTGCAGTTGCTGGTTCTTATGGAATGCACCCAATTCCCTTACAACTGGCTCTTATTTGTGCAATGCGTTTGCAGGTGTCTTGGAGAGCTGTCGTCTGGGGGCTTGGCCTGCAGTTCCTTCTCGGCGTCTTTATCATCCGGACTGACCCCGGCTTTCAAGCTTTCCAGTGGCTCGGCAAACAGGTCCAGGTATGGAGCATCTTAAGTGGGAAGGACCACAGTTCAGAGGGAGCAGAATCCATGTTTCCCATGCAAGAAGGGCCCCAGCGACTCCGGATGAGGCCGGGGAAAAGCTGTGGAGAAAACCTAGCCATGGGCTGCCAATCAGACCATTCTGAATCAGATGGACCGTTCGTTTGACTCGGGTTCAAGACAGCTTTCTAGTGGTGGTGGCTGCAAAGCAGCAAGGGCTCTTAGGACCGCGGCTGAAAAGAAAATACAGTGGTGCCTCACTTTACGATTGCCCTGTTTAATGATGAAGCCACATTACGATGAACTTTTTGCGATCGCTTTGTCGATCGCTTTAAAATGTTTCCTATGGGGGAATTTCACGTTGTGATGATTGGTTCCCTGCTTTGGGAACCGATTCTTTGCAAAACGACAATTTTCCAACAGCTGATTGGCGGTTTCAAAATGGCCACCGGGTAAACAAAATGGCCCCCCACTGTTTTCTGGGATGGATTCCTCACTGCACAAGCAGCGAAAATGGCTGCCCTATAGAGGATCTTCGCTGGATGGTGAGATTACAGCCTTTTGGAATGCATTAAACGGGTTTTAATGCGTTTCAATCGTTTTTTTCTTTTCACATTACGACGTTTTCATTCTACACCGATTTCGCTGGAACGAATTAACATCGTAATGCAAGGCACCACTGTAATATTTCCTGTTCTTGCGGTGTTTTAACTCCAGTAGCACTATCCTCTTTGTAACGCATGGAAGTGCAATCAGTCCTACAGAAAGCAAGCCTTTTGTTTACATTTCACTGATCAGTGGCTGACATGTTGGGGAAGTCCCCCAGCATCTCATGATTGACATCATTGTCTCCCTCCTCCTTTATTCTCTTCTTCTACCCTTGTAGAAGCCGTGCATTACAATAATCTGTACGCCAGGTTGAAGATGGTTTGAGCTACTATGGAATGGTCGGCCCAAAAAGAAGGGGTGGGAATAGAATCTGGATTGACAGTAGGACCCCCTTATCCGCGGGGATTGGTATCCACTGATTCATTGAGCATCTGCCTGAAAATACTAATAAAAAACCTCCAAAAATACATATTTATACAGTATATTGCATCAAAGAAGGCCAGTTCTTTCCAGCTCCAGCATCCCAAAGCTACTTCAGTGGCCAACCGTAATAAATATATTGTGTTTAATCATTTCGGTTCAGAAACAAAAGCATCTGTAAAGGTTTTTCTTCAGCATAGTTGAGAAGGTCTGTAGCTTAGCTGCAGAGCACAGGCTTTGGATGGAGAAGGTTCTGAGTTCAATAGCCATCCCAGAAGGCCAGTTCTTTCCAGCTCCAGCATCCCAAAGCTACTTCAGTGGCCAACCGTAATAAATATATTGTGTTTAATCATTTCGGTTCAGAAACAAAAGCATCTGTAAAGGTTTTTCTTCAGCATAGTTGAGAAGGTCTGTAGCTTAGCTGCAGAGCACAGGCTTTGGATGGAGAAGGTTCTGAGTTCAATAGCCATCCCATCCAGACAGACCTTCCTATGTTTCTTTGAAGCCTTATCCAGACTTAATACTCTCTGCACCCCCTTTTCCTTTGCAGATATTCCTGAGTTACACCACAGCGGGTTCCAGCTTCGTCTTTGGGGACACATTAATCCAAGATGTATTTGCCTTTCAGGTGAGTTGCCTGAGGATGCTCGACAACACTGATGCTTGTTCCCAACCCTGCCTCCCATGCCCAATAAATTCTGGGGGCACTTAAATGATGAACCCCCCCCAAAAAAACCCACCTTGCCCAGATCCTCCTTAAACACAGCATTGGTCCTGCTGTGCAAGGAACGTCCACCAGATACACCCCTCCGAATGGGCCACCGTCTTTGTGTCAGTGCGTGACACCCAGTATGTCCCTAATGAACTGCATTCCAGACTTTATTACGACATTCTCTGTGATGCTTCGCAATCTGATGTACCAGTTCAGCTGCAGGACCAGGTTGCTTGCTAAAGCTGACATGTGCCTTCCCGTTCTGTCTCCAGGCGTTGCCCATCATTGTCTTCTTCAGCTCTGTGATGTCGATTCTCTACTACCTGAGAGTCATGGAGTTCATAATACTGAAGGTGATACAGTTTATTTAAACTCTGGACCCTCAGAGGTCACTGACACTGGTCATTTTGGAGTGGGTTGGTGTAGGCTAAATAGAGGTTGCTTGGGGTCAGGTGGGGTGCAATCCTCGCATCCAAATAGTATATCAGAGCTCAAGAGACCCTATTTGGTCTGGCTCCTTCCATTCTGACTTTCTGATATTGTGGAGTGGCTTAATATGTCAGCCATTTCAAGATATTGGTGAATATCTTCTGCCCCTTAGTAGAGAAGTGGATTTGGCTATGCGCAGTTTCTCAACCAGTACCTTAAGACAAAGCAAAGTAACACTATATTTGTATTTTTTATATAAGTGATGCAGCACATCAGCGATGATCTAGCAGAATCTAAAAAAAAAAAAGAAATTTACTTCCTCTGCCTCTCAGCCATTGAGCAGAGGAAGTTGTTCAATTTGTCGATATCCTGAAGTGGCTCAGTTATTAAGCCACTTCACAATCTTGGACATTCAAAACCAAGCAAAGCTTGACAACCAGAAGGCTTGCTTTTGATCTCTTCCCAGAGATCACTGGAAACAGACTAAACTAGAGTGGTTCTACCCACACCAAAAAAGTAGATGCCCCTGACAGGGTCTCAGAAAGATGCTCATAGGGATACTCTCGGGACAATTTGGTTTGCTGCTGTGATTACATCATGTGATCACCAGAAAAAGGAACAAACCAACCTGTCCCCACAGGAGATGGGACAGCTTTGGAATGTGTCGCCTTGAGAAGCCAGGTTGGCTCCGTCAGGCAATGATTTTCCTCTCCAGGCAGGCTTTTAAGCAATGAGAGGAGGATTTAAGAACGCTGTATCTGCTGAATTTAGAGAGTTCTAAACGTTTTTCTTTTTTAAATGCCTGTCTGATGGTACTCTGAGGTCTGGAGTATCTCATCCCTGTGGAACTGGATCCTCTGCTAATGGTAGTTGTAGGTCTAGAAAATAATTTTTCCAAGCTTTTGAAACTTTGTAGCTAAATAACTTTAGGAAATGCATCTTGAGTGACTGTATCTCTGGAAACTCCCTGTAGATGTCCTGGCTTTTGCAAATCACTATGGGCACAGCACCCACAGAAACTCTCAGCGTGGTGGGGAATATATTCGTAGGGATGGTAAGTGATTTTTTAAATTTTGTTTTCCCCAAGTAACCCCAACACTCTCAACCTTCTCTAGACAAACAAAAACCTGATCAGAACACATTGTACGTATTCCTTCTTTCGCGTGTTGTAAATAAATTAGATAAATAAATAAATAAGCAAGACAGAAATCTTTGGTCCTGATAACTACAGTTGAGAGAGGAGGGGATGTCTTCTCTCCAGGAAGAGAGGAGGAGGAAGAAGAAGGGAGATTGAATTGGATCAAGTTTTGGAAGGAACCTCCCAACCTAGCAGTTCAAAAGCATGCAGTGCAAGTAGATAAATAGGGACCACCTCGGTGGGAAGGTAATGGCATCCCGTGTCTAGTCGCGCTGGCCACGTGACCACAGAATATTGTCTTTGGACAAATGCTGGCTCTACGGCTTGGAAACGGGGATGAGCACCATGCCCTAGAGTCGGACACAACTGGACTAAATGTCAAGGGGAACCTTTTCCTTTACCTTGGAAGGAACGCCAGCTTAGCTCAAGGTAGTTAACAGGCAGTCTAGGATATTGGGGGACCTCTCTCCCCTGCCCCACGTCTTATGTGCCAGATGAGTCCCAACCTACCACCTCCAGCATTCCCAGCCCAGCCCAATGGGGTGACCCTTTCCTTTGCCCGCTAGACAGAAGCACCGCTGCTCATCCGCCCTTACTTGAAGGACATGACGAGGTCAGAAGTCCATGCAGTGATGACCGGAGGCTTTGCGACCATCGCCGGCAGTGTGATGGGAGCGTACATTTCGTTCGGGGTGAGTATCTTAATCCGAGAACTGCAGAGCTGGAAGGGACCCTACAAGATCAACAAGCCCAGTCCTGGATGGGCTGGGGAATCCAACTCCCAACCTCTGGCCATGCCATGCCAAGAGAGAAGGGAGGTTTTATGGGGCGGGAGAGGTTTGCAAAGGGCCGTGGCATTTTTCTGTAGCAGATGACAGAGATGTCCCCTTGGTTATTCCTTCTGTCCTGGAAACTCCTCCTGCCCAGAAGTCTCTGCATTTCAAATGGCATGTTAGTTGCAGCTGTTGCTTTACCTAGAGCCGCTTTGGATGCATCTGGAATCAGCTCATTAATGGCAGCGAAGAAGCCCTTTCCACATCTGGCTGTCCTCCAGGGCCAGAGGCGACTGAGGGAGAATGGCTGGGCTGGGCAGTTTAGCGGCCAGTTCCTTATCGCTAGAAATGCAGAGACTCACCCCTGGGGGAGGCCCTTGTGACGGTAACGCTTAGGAGGAAATTCTTTAGTTTATAACCCTTAGACGAGAAGCTGTAGGACACTGCCGAAGCACTTACTTGGCATGAACCCCCATAATCCCTGATCATGGCCCATGCTGGCTGGGCCTTAGGGGAAGGGCACAACAAAACAGCTGGACCATACTGCTTGACTACCTCTACTCAGGACGGGCAAGAACACCCCTTGGATATTGTTAGATTACAACTCCCATCCGCCTTGGCCTGCATAGCCAATAGAGGTCATGGGAACTGTAGTCCTGGAGGGCCATGCATTCCCTTTCACTGTCCTATTAACCACTAGCTTGCCTTTTGTAGGGGGGATCTGCAAGCACTAAAAACGCTGGCCCTCCCCCTCTTCGGGGCACAGGGAACAGGCCTGTCCTCTGAGGAGTCCATCAAATGTGAGAAGGCTCCCGTTTGCCTCCTGCTCACTTTCCTTCCTTGCTCCAGATCGAAGCCTCTTTCTTGATCGCTGCCTCAGTGATGGCAGCGCCGTGCGCTTTGGCGGTTTCAAAACTGGTCTACCCGGAGGTGGAAGAGTCCAAATTCCGGAGCCGGGAGGGTGTGAAGATTCCCTATGGGTGAGTGCACGGTTGGGGGCTTGCAAGCTGATGGGAAGAGGACCAGCTCTGCTCCAGACAGAGGAAAGAAATGGTCTCTGCCAGAAGATGCTGGGGAGGAGGCAGCAGCAGTCCCCGGTCGTTCCTCCAGAGCCCCCGGCTATGCCTTTCTGTCAGAGGGCAATGCTTTCAGATGTAGCAGAGGGTCCAGTCTAGAACAAACCATAAAAACGGTAGTTCGTGATGGTTCGTGGTTTGGAATTACCTACGAACAAGCACAACCCCCTTGAAAAAACGAACCGGTTTGCAGTTCGTTTTTTCAGGTTAGTTCCAGTGCCTACCTGGTCCTGCCGCTTCTGCCACTGCCACTTGTCACCGGTGCCATCTTCAGAGGCGGCAGCAGGAGGAGCTGGGCCTACTGTCTCTCTGAGCATGCGCCTACCGCCCAGCTCTTATGCGGGCGCATGTGCAGAGGCAATAGGCTCGGCTTCCCTGCCAGGAGCCTGCCGCGACCTCTGAAGAGGACATCCAGCAGCCCGCAGTGGCAGCAGAAGAAGTGGAGGCGGCAGGACCAGAGGCGACCGGGGGTGGGTGGGAAGTGGGTGGGGTGGGCCGTCCTGTTTTGCCAAAGCAGAAATGAAACACCAAGCGGAAGAAAGATCAGAGTTTCATTTCGCTTCAGCGAAACGGGATCTCCGAAAGCAGGTCACGAGCCAAAGCACGAAACAGCCTGGTTTGTTGGTTTTGCTGGTTTGTCGTTGGGTTCGTGCCCATCTCTAGTCCTATCCAGTGGTAAAAAGTAGACGTAGAACTCAGAAAAATGGATTGTTTGGGACTACATCTCCCATAAACTCTCTGCCAGCATGGCGACTGAGGAACTGTGGGAGTTGTAGTCCAAAACTTTAACATTCCTAAGCTCTAAGTTGAAGCAAGATTCTGCTGCCATTCGGGTCGTATACTGTGCCTTGGATGAGAGAGGAAAAGCACAACCATTACATAAGATTGACTCTCGCTCATCAGAAATCAACCCATCAGGCTGTCAATTATTGCTCTTAGACTTTTTGTAGTGATGCAAGCATCAGCTCAGGTGGGAATTGGCTGTGGTTGGATTAATATGTTAATCAACCAGAGGATGAATTCCAGCTCCACCTCTTTAATAATTCTTTTTTTAAAAAAATCATTCTGCAGAACTTTGTAGAAAAACAGTTCCTAGGCCTCTTAATTGTCTTCTGATTTGTTCTCTTGGCACAGGGAAGAGAAGAACATTCTGGAAGCGGCCAGCAACGGAGCAGCTGTCTCTGTGGGGCTGGTGGCCAACATCGCGGCCAACCTCATTGCCTTCCTTGCTGTGCTGGCCTTCATCAACGCCTCCCTGGCTTGGCTGGGGGGTCTGGTCAACCTGCCGGAACTCTCTTTTGAGGTACCGTCCCCAAGCCAATGACCCAAATTGTGGCCTCAATCTAAAGGCTGGACCCAGCTAGAGCAGACCCCTTGAATCTTCTGCTGAAGGTTAAGTCAATACTTGTGTGGCTCCATCAATTCATTGGGGTTACCATAGCTGGGATTGGCCGTTCGCTTGAGACAGTCTACAAGTTCGGTTTAAAGATGATAAGAAAGCGTCGGTTCAATTGCAGAAGAACTGGTTTGGGGATATACCGGGTGGTTTCCCATGGAAATAGGCTGCTTGTCAGTATCAAAGACTGTCAAAAGCAAAGAGAGTATACTTATTAAGGAAATCCTGCATCAAACATGAGAAGATGGGGTTGCTGTCTATGGTTACCGAGGTAGGAAGATGAGGAATAGAGAGAAGTGAAGCCAGACCTGAGAACATGAGTCTATAGACAAGGGAACAATAGATCAGACCAGACAAAGAGAGAATGCATCAGGGAATCTTAGTTCTCTGCCTCTGTCTCTTCTGCCTTATAGGCTCACAGCTGTTTCTGCAAGAGCAGTTGCATTTCCATAGGTCTTGCAAGCCCTTGCCTATAAGCTCCTGCACAGCCTTGTTCCAGATGCTCCAACCATCCTGATTTATCAACGACATCCCCAATTTCCTAACAAGTGGCTCTATTTCAATGAGGATGCTTGGTTAGGGAATTATGAGAGCGATCAAAAAAATTGCAAACTTTTAAAAAGTTATTTCCAAGTTCTGATCCACCATAACCTCTTTTCAGGACTGATGTTATTTCAGAAGTCCGACAGCAAATTTTTCTTTTTCTCTTGAGGAAGCTGTCTGTGCAGAATGCAAACTTTCTGGCCTCCGTGGGACTCACAAAGTCTTACCTCCATCCTTCTGTGCAGGGTAGACCCTGTTTTCCTCTAGACAATGCTTTTCCTCCTTTCTCCCTACACATTAAGATGGGGGACTCCCTCTAGATTCTGAAAGGCCTGAGAAATGGAGCAGGCCAAGTGTCAATAACCTGGCATGGATGAAGGAATTGTGCTCGCGAATTCCAATCAGTTTATTGACAAAGTTAGCATGAACACTGGTAGGAGTCATGCAGAAGCTAGTTAGTGGACGGCCGACTTTATTTACAAATAGTTCCTTTTTGCTTTCAGCTGATCTGCTCGTATGTCTTGGTTCCCCTGGCATTCTTGTTAGGGGCAAGCTGGGAGGACGCGCCTCTCGTCGCTGAACTGCTGGGGACAAAACTGTTCTTGAATGAGTTTGTGGCTTATCAGCAACTGTCGACGTACAAACAGAGGCGGCTGGACGGGTTGCCCGAATGGGACGGGACACACAAGCAATGGATTTCGGCAAGTGTCACCAAGGAAGAGGGGGAAAAATTACACACACACACACAGGAAGTTGTATCATCACTCAAACATCTTGATAGCTGTTCTGCTGATGCATTTGGGATACGGGAGAACAGCTGAACTTAGTTGTATTGCTAGCATCCTTTCTGTGTGCAACAGATCCCCCAGCTTGGAAGGGGTCTGTCCGCTTACTTTCTGGACAGTCATACTCATAGCTCAGAATTTGTAGCCCAGAGAAGTAGGTTTGCCCAAGCGATGCATCAGACGTTTGCAATAGGTTGTCCTTGATAACTCTCAACAGGAAATGATCCACCCATTTTGAGCTTTCATTGAAACCTTGCTCTTTGAAAGCAACCCCTCGAACTCCTGGCCATTTCTCTTGGTTTCCCAGTCAATGACTGCTCGCTCCCATCCTGTCCAGATCTTGTTTCTCCTCACCTCCAGTTCCCAACAAGCGGCCTTATCCTGAATCCATCCATGCCACCATCTAGATGAGTGTTGTCTACCTTGACAGGTATCCACTCCCCAGGTTCCCAAACAGAGAGCATCCCCATCAGGAGAAATCCGATCCTTCAGACTCAAAATGCTGGGGATTTGAGCATATCACTTCCCATATTGGTTTTCTGTCACTGCGTTCCTGTTCCTCCCCAAAACCCAAAGCAACACTGCTACTACTCAAATTTGGCATGATGGCCCCACTTGCGCTTGACTACTGCCCAGTTCCAGCTGCTGTGGCCTCTTTTGAGTCTCTTCCATCCTCGGATGGAATCCAACCCTTCTGGAGTCCTAATCAGTCCTCTGGAAACACCCCCTTGAGACCATCATTGAGTGACTTAACAACTTTTGTACTGCAACCCCACTCAACCAATATATTGCTTTCAGTAAGAGTTTTAAGCTGCCATTTTTGGCCCCACTCTTTTGGCTTAATCCCACCCACCACTGGAATGTGCCCCACCTCCCTTGAAACCGAATCCAGCCCCACACCCCTGGTTCACTCTTTTCCATCAAGTCAACATACCTGGAGTTTCAAAACCCTCCATTCCTTGTCCATCCCGGTGCATTACTTCTGGGTTCAGGGTGCAGTAAACACATGCATTTATTCAGAAGCATGATGAAGTAATATAGGTTGGGCAACATTTCAGAGAAACTAGAAAGGGCTGTAGAGGGACACGAATCAGAACCCAGATTCCATCATTATCTTATCTCCTGTTATCAACCAGTGGTGAATGTTTATAAGATCCCTTGCAGGTAGCATTTCCCTGTGTATGGGTGCCTGCAGAGTGGGGAAGTACTATTTATGAGGCACCTGCAGGACACAGGATCAGGTGCTGCAGCAAACAGCAAAGGTTGAGCTTTGAATTGGGTCCAAAGTTGCACAAACCCTCCCAGATTCATCAGCACAGTCATACCTTCATGTTTTCTGGTGCTGGTGATGGGGAACCAAGCTTTGTCCCTTCTTGACTACCCCAAAACATATTAGAGGGCTTGACTAGTGATGGACCAGTAGTTCCAGAATGAGCAAATCCAGAATGAGCAATCCAGCCCGTTTGAGGAGAGAGGAACCACTCTAAGCCCATGGGCCGAACGTCTCCCCCGATGACCCTTCTGAAGCCAGGGGATGTGCTTTCCTTGACCTGCTCAACTTCTCAGTAGAGAGGAAGATCAGGGCGGAGAAGAACTGGATCAGTGATCAATGATAAAGTGGTGCCTTGCATAGCGACGTTAATCCGTTCCAGGATTAACGTCGCTATCTGGAAACATCGCTATACTCTGTTTAATGCGTTCCTATGGGGGGGAACTCACCGGTAAGCGAAGATTCCCCATCTGGCCGCCATTTTCGCTGCCTCGGTAAGCGAGGGCAGGGCGCAAAAACGCTGCAGGCGGCCATTTTCTGCACCCGGTGGCCATTTTGGAACCGCCAATCAGCTGTTTTCTAAACATCGCAATGCGAAGATCGGTAAGCGAAACGCTTACGGATCATCTCAACGCGATGTTTTGCCACCTAAAACATCGCAATGCGATTGCATTAGCGATCGCAAAAAATGCATCGCTATGCAGATTCGTCGTTAAATGGTGCACTCGTTAAGTGAGGCACCACTGTACAGGGATCCCTTTGATATGGGGGAAGGAGCTGGATCCAGGGCCAAATTCAAGGGCATGAATTCATAGGCTGCCAAAGGTTTCCTTCTTGGTATTTACTAGGTAGCTAGGTTAGGGGGCTTGAGTGGATCTAGCAAGTCCCTGTTTTTTACGATGACCTGCTAGAGGGATGTTCCTGTCTGCCAAGCATGATGTGCTACTAGAGGTGAGGTGCCCTGCTATTTCTCAAACAAAGCAAGAGGGAGAGAGTCCTCTTCTGAAATAACTGAGGCCTGCATAATGTGGGCTTCCTGTTTCATATGATGTGATCAGTCTGGGAAAGGTTCAGTGAGCTACTACTGAGCCATGCCAGCAACCAGGCAGCTGCCCCACAGAGGTTGCCCCCCCCAATCAAAACGCCACCACTTGCCTTCGGACCAGCACCACCCACGTTTTCAAGTTCTCGTAAACTTTCCGCCAAGTGACAAGGTCCAAGAAAACAAGGGGCAGGGGAAGAAAAGCTAGGCTAGAAGGATGTTGTGATCATCCTTCTAGCCTAATTTTTCAGGCTAGAAAAGCATGGTTTATGTCTGGGCTCAAGGTGGGGGCTTCCAGATGGTTTTGGACCACTTGGTAGGTAGCCAAGGGTCTTCAGCAATGCATCCGTGGAGGCACAGCGCAAGGGCTGATCAGGAAGGTGGCTGGCAATTCCCAGCCAGTCTTTTCCCTTGACTGAATCAGGCGGGTAGGTTCCTGGCATCTTCCTTTGGAAAGGACGCTTGAACTTCTGCCCACCCTACCCCACCCTCACTGCATGCACAGCAGTTGCAGGGCGAGGAGTTGACATCAAAGGTCAATACGCAACCTGGATGGGAAGTGGGGGTTATCTGCGCTCTTATCGCTGCCCTGATTATCTTCTTTCCCTTGTTCTGCAGGAGAGAGCTGAAACCATCACCACCTTTGCTCTGTGTGGATTTGCCAATCTGAGCTCCATCGGGATTATGCTGGGCGGCTTAAGTGAGTGGGCGGCCCAGGGAGGAGGCTGGGAGGGGACGAGGGCTCAGAGGAGCTCCTACGGTGGCTTGTCAAATAATAACATGCCTCGGCCGTTGTCTTTGCCGAGCTGGCAGAGTGAAGCAACCATCTCTCATGGCAGAAGCTGGAGGGAGGGATATGAACCTGTGCCATAGGCAGCAACGTATTTGGGGATGGCCTGTAGCTGTGGTGGCACTGCGGGCTAAACCGCAGAAGCCTGTGCTGCAGGGTCAGAAGACCAGCGGTCGTAAGATCGAATCCACGCGACGGAGTGAGCGCCTGTCGCTTATCCCAGCTCCTGTCAACCTAGAGGTTCGAAAACATGTAACAATGCAAGTAGATCAATAGGGACCACCTCAGTGGGAAGGTAACAGCGTTCCGTGTCTAAGTCGCACTGGCCATGTGACCACGGAAGATTGTCTTCGGACAAAACGCTGGCTCTATGGCTTGGAAACAGGGATGAGCACCACCCCCTAGAGTCGAACGGGACCGGACAAAAATTGTCAAGGGGAACCTTTACCTTTACCTGTAGCTACTATCTCCTGTGTTGCCTTAGCCTCTGAGCCCAGCCAGCTTGATTATCCCTGGGATCACCTGAGCATTTGGCCTGACGAAAATGGAGAAGGAAAAGCCCAGCATAGCTCCTGGATCATCTCCGCTCTGCTAATGCAATTCTGTCCTTTTTTCTTTCATGCGAAGCACCCATGGCTCCGCAGCGCAAGGGGGAGTTTTCCAGCATCATCACGCGAGCTTTGTTAACTGGAGCCTGTGTTTCCCTGCTCAATGCATGCCTTGCAGGTAGTGTTTGGGTGGGAGCAGGAGGGCAATGCTGGGAGGAGGGGTGGACCATCTGGAGAAGTCAAGGAGTCAGTCTTCTCTTCCCAAAGATTTTTTGGATTCCACAGGGGCTGTTTTTTTAAAAAAAAAGTCTGCAAGTCTTGCTAATGTCAAGAAACGAGTAGGGGGGGAGAGAGAAGTGGGAGAGACATTTCCTTTTGCTTAAATGAGGGGAAGAGGATCACACCCTCTGGGAACTCCCAGAAACATGATTCTTGGCATATTGCTGCTATTTAATTGGGCAGTGGGGACACAAGAACCCTGTGATTTTCCAGTCCGCCTCTAAGCAGTACTCCACATAGATGGGAAGAATTAAGCCCCCATTTTACAAGCAACACATCATTAGAGGCAGTGTGCCCTCAAAAGGAAAAGACCTTCAATTTTAACCTAGCAAACAGTTGTTTCCATCCACATCTGGAAATTGAGCTGCTTTTTGTTTTGTAATTGACTAATTCAGCTTTGTTTGCACGGTAAATAGAACTGGAAGATTTCATGAGCCTGTATAGATGACATTGTTAAGAGGAGGAGATATATATTTGCCTTAACATGTGATCTGAGTCTTGGTCTACGAAGCAAACATGTTTTTTTTCTATATAAGCTTTATTCTTTTTTTGATAAAGTCTTCTCAGTGGACCAAAGACTATGAGTGTCCCTGGAAGCCTGATGGAAATGAGGAGGGAGCAGGAAGAAGGGAGAAAGAGTACTTAAATCTGCTGCAAACAAATACATTTAACATCAGACCCTACAGTTGAGAGACAGCCGGTGGAAAAAACCCATTCAACAACTGCACAGCCAACAAACAAAGTCAGCTCCCTGAGAAAATTCTTGCGTGGGTGTCATTGGCTGAAATCTTGTTGCTTAACATAATAAGTTGCACTAGAGTAGGGCCATGTAATCAGTGGGAATTTGGTGAGTCAACTCCTCCCTAGGTTCTACAATAGGCCTACTCTAGTACAACTTGATACACTAAGCAACAGGATTTCAGGCACTGATCTGGGAGGACACTTCACTTCTCAGCGTTCAAAGGAATGGGGAAGCCTCTTTCATGACTTCTTCCATATCCTACAGGTATCCTTTATGTGCCCAGAGGAGAAATGACCAATTGCCCAGATTTCTTCAGCCAAACGAATCTCAGCTCCACCAGTTACACCATCTATACTTGTTGCAAAGGCTTGTTTACCAGGTGAGTGAACCACCTGTTTGTTAGCTCTTAGTGACACCAGCAAAGGATGCATTGCTGTCTAGAGGAGCAGATGGAAGGGGAAACTGAACAGAGCTGTGCATGTAAACAGTCAATCACATCTGATTATTTGTGTGTGTCTCTGTGTGTGTTTTAGAAGTTAATTATAAGGGTAATGCCGTGCTTCTAACGGCTTGTCTACATGGTGTGAAAGGAGCAGGGTGGATCGAGCTAATTAGACTTCCTAAGAGATCCGGTACACCACTTGGTGTTATTTATTTATTTATTTATTTATTTATTTATTCATTCATTCATTCATTCATTCATTCATTCATTCATTCGATTTATATCCCGCCCATCTGGTATATTCTTCTCACATTCAAATGGTGGATGGACCTCAAGCAACTCTATTTAGTCTACAACCCTTGCCAATATCATAAAGTGGCTGCAAATTAACCACTTCCTTTGCTCTGTGAAGGGACGTGGTGGCGCTGCAGGTTAAACCGCAGAAGCCTCTGTGCTGCAAGGTTGGAAGACCAGCAGTTGTACCTTTGCTCTGTGAAGGAACAGAGGAAGTGATTTTTTTTAAAAGTATGTATTAGGGCAGTGAATATTCACTGCACCACTTAAAAACACAAACAAAAGACAAGTGGAAAGCTTCCCCTCGGAGGTTTTTGTTTCTCTTAAAGGTCCGGTCGAGAGCCTGTTTGCAGCCAAGCTTGTGCTGGGCAATGGGACTGGGTTACAGGCCTTCTGGCTGGTTTAGGTCAACTGAAGCAGGGCTATTAAGTCCGCTTTTGTGTGTATCCATTCAGTGTGTGGCAGGACACTTAAAAGCAGGCTCCAGGCAGAATAGCACCAAGATAAAGCCAGCTGAAAGCCTCTGCATATCTATGCAGCAACAAGGTAGACTTGTGAAAGATTTGTAAAAGTGCCAAGAGAACCTGTAATTTTGCCATTGTTGTTATTTAGTCGTTCAGTCGTGTCTGACTCTTCGTGACCCCATGGGCCAGAGCACGCCAGGCCCCCCTGGCCACAGTGATCTACAATCTGTGGCATAACAACAGCTAGGACATGCATTTTATGTTTTCCACTATGGAGCTTAGAATAACCAGCAGATGGCACCCCATGTTTTTTGAAGAAGACTTTTACTTAGCTTCACAAACCTGCTTAGTTGCTTGAAAGAGTTGACTAATCTACTGTATTCACGAAGGCTTTCACGGCCGGGATCTGATGGTTGTTGTGGGTTTTTCGGGCTCTTTGGCCGTGTTCTGAAGGTTGTTCTTCCTGATGTTTTGCCAGTCTCTGTGGCCGGCATCTTCAGAGGACTGGAGTCGGAACTCTGTCCATGCTCTGTTGAGAACTCTGTTCCGACTCCTGTCCTCTGAAGATGCTGGCCCAGAGACTGGTGAAACATCAGGAACAACAACCTTCACAACACAGGCAAAGAGCCCGAAAAACCCACAACAACTATGACTAATCTACTGCTGGCAATTACAGTGGACCCTCGACTTACAGACGGCTCGACTTACAGACTTTTCGAGTTACAGACTTCTCTGGCCGCAAAATTTAGGTTCGACTTGCAACTAGATAATCGACCTGCAGACCAGAAAAAAACCAAAATGGGACAGAAATGGAACAAAAACGGCCAGTTACAGGATTAATCGGTTTTCAATGCATTGTAGGTCAATGGAGATTCGACTTACAGACTTTTCGACCTGCAACCACTGTTCCAATACGGATTAATTCCGTAAGTAGAGGGTCCACTGTAATTTCCCTCGAAGTGCAAGGCCTTGGATAAAGGTGGCTAGTGGCTGAGTTTCCAGGATGATGTTCTTCAGTATTGCATTAAACAGATAATCTGCATCACAGGATTTTCAACTTATTCTGGAGGAGTTCCTGTCTTCTATTTGGGGGGGGGGGAGGAATTAATATAGAAGATTTCAGAGTTTGCAAGTTAGATCAGAGTAGATACAACTGTTTATTTCAGTGGGTGACTTTAGAGCTGGTGAGAAGCAGGTGGGAGGTAGAGAGAAAAATGACGTGGTGCACAGTCCTAGGGCACCCCCAGAAGAAGGGAACAGTAAATCACCTCTGAATACTTTCTGCCTACTCCAAGAAGAAGGGAATGGTAAACCACCTCTAAATACTTTCTGCCTACCCTTGAAAAGGATCACCATAATTGACTTGCTGGCACATGGCTATTATGGTTATTAGAATAGGAACAAGAATATAGGAAGCTATCTAATACTAGGTCAGACCACATATCCATTTAGTTCACTATTTGCATACGCTTGATATCAGCTTTTCATGGTTCCAAGGACTAAGCATGTCCCCTACCACTGAATTCTGACTCCCTTCTCCTGGATGGCAATAGCTAGCCCAATACAACGAAGACATATTTCATCCCATGGATTTCCTCTAGCTTCTGAACCAGCATTCATAGTAACAGCTAGTCTACTGATGGCTGACTAGTATGAAATGAATCCACATGGAGGAACTGAATTATCCTAAAACCATTTCTGGTGGCTAGGAGCCTATCTTCCTGTTTTTACCACTGTTAATGTGGTCAAAATCTTCAGTGGCTCAAGCAAGAATGTATACACACGGGAGCATGAAGCCTGGGAAAATTACACTCACCATTTTCTATTGTATATTCACACAGGAACTCCTTTATTTTTTTAATATTGGAATCAGCTCATACCTTCCTGTATTCAAGCTTCTTGCTTCAGCCTGAAGGCTGCGAGTAATCTGTCCTATTTTTTTTTCCTTTTAAGAAAACTGGATGTTGAAATCCAGTGGATTCTAGGAAAAGGACAATAGCACCATAATCTTAAAGACAGTTTACTTGGATGACAATCCCTTTGAAATGAATGGATCTTGTTTCCAAGGAGACATGCATAGGATTGGGCTGGGCAGGTAGCAGTATTCCCACTAAGGGAATTCAGGTGGCACGTGGCACCATGAGTCAGTGTAGGTTTCTGACTGCTTCAGCTGCAAGGTTGCGCAAGATCTCTTACTGCTCCTTATTCTAGCACTCCTTGCCCACAGTTGGGGCTCCTTGAATCCAGGATATGGGACGCATCCAACCCCAAGTTGTGTTCATGCAAGAAAATAATGAGCTATGAATGTGAGTGGGTGTGTGAATATGTACATCACGGATGCAAACTGGCCATGCTCTTGTCATCTTACGTGGAGACTAACATTCAACATTAGTCAGGATTACTAGAGTCCCATTGTTGGTGTCCGGAGATAATAATCCTGTTGCCCTTACTTCCCTATATTTTTATCCTTCACAGCACTTCAATTGGAGCCAATGGATCCGTTTCTTTCTCTGGCACTTGGGAAAGCGTGGATTTCAGCAGTTCAGTGGCATATCTCCAGCAGTGCTGTGGTCATTATAATGCCACTGCCTGTGTCTATGAGCCATAATCCGGAGTTTGTGAGGACTATAACTGAAAGCGTCCTTTGCCACTGAGCCTCGCTCCACTACTAATCCACTTCGGAAACGAACCGCCTTTCAAAACTATTGAGGAACCCCTTGCAAAATGATCCTCCGTCCTGGTCTTCTTGGTGTGACTGGATTACAGCTAACTTCTACTGGCTGAATTTTGCTCCTGGTGCCAATCAAAGGATACAAGCCAAATGTGATCTACACTAGGTGGTTTTTAAGAGCATGGAAAGGCCGGGGACTTGTCTTTTGTCACTGTTGGTACCAGTCTAAGCTTTGCAGTACTTGGGTGGCAGTAAAAAAAAAATACCCACATCATCACTGGGTATTTAATGCAGAACAAATGATCTGTATGAATGAGCATCTACTGCAAAGGAGTGAGTCAACACAGTACACAAGGTGGCATCACTTGAACAGTGAAAGCCGTAATTGGTTTTATAGCTAGTGAGCACAAGCATACCTTTGGTGTGTTTGTGTAAAAAACTACCCTCTGCATCTTGGCTAGGATGTGAAATCTCACATCCAAAGATAAGCCCAAAAAACACTGTCTTATGAAGAACACAAGGACTTTCATATATGTGTTCAACACTCCGAGTGTGTTTTCAGCTGCATTGTTTAGGATCATGTCCAACAAAATCAGGATGAGAGTCCTTTCTGGGATAGCATTAACAGGGGCTGTTTGCTTGTCTTGGTGCTGTGACAACAGAAAAGATGGAAAAGTGGGAAATGTTTGCTGGTGAGGAATTTCCTAGAGACTTCGTAAGATTTGTTGCTGGACAACTGTCTTTTCTAGCAGATCACCGACCAATAATCCTTTTCACTCTCAGGTCCCCCCAGGGAGTGTGTTTTCCTATGCTCTTCTTTCCTGTGGTCCTTGTGCATTGATTTTTCAGAGGTTAAGAGCTCATTAAATTTGGCAGCACTGACTGGCAGGTAAATGGGTACAGCATTGCAGCCTTAGGGTATATCTAAAACTTCAAAGTTATTTATTTTGGATTACAACTCCCAGAATCCCATCGCCAGCATAGAAAGCAACCCATGCCTATTTCCCTAAAAGAGAAATTCAGCAGGATTGGCTTCTGAATAAATATGCACCGAACTGCAGAAGTTGGGTATTTCCAAACAAACCTGTGTGCTCATCTGTGTTCTCCCGAGGGAACATTTGTGTTCGCGAGCTGATTTCCACTTTGACCAAAACTTTGTAAACAGGCCAGAGCTCAAATGGCATGTGTGCATACCCACCCAGAGCATCATCAAAAAGCAGCTCAAAGGTGCCTGCATTGGTAAAGTATTCCTCTGTTATATTGATCTCCGATCTCCATTTCTTGGGATATAAAACTAGATTGCTGTGCTCTGTCTGTCCATCTCTCTCCCTAGGGAACCTACTCTCTTTCTAAGCCAGATGTTGAACTCCCACCATTCATCACTATTGGCTATGTTGACCAGGACTTGGTGGGAGCTGCACTGCAACATCTGGAGTCCAACTGGGTGCTTGACTCATTCTACAACAAGAGGGATCACAGGATGGTTTCTGTACAAGTATTGGCCTTGTAATGAGAAGGTGGTTGTTCTACTAGGGAAAGTAAGGTCCTATCCTCTTGACGCCTAACCCATCAAGCCAAAGTCTTCTTGAAAGTCTGGATGAACCCGAGACTTAGACTTCTTCAACCATCGAGTGTTAGTAGAGAGCAGGAATATTTGTGTCAAGTTATCATCTGTAAAGTCATACGTGCATCACGCTTGGCATGGAAACCCTGCTAGCTGAAAGAAGAGCCACATGTTGCATCATTGCTTACGCAGCCTTCAGACCGGGATGATGATGACTGCAACAGGCTAGCAAATGTACTGTTTACTAGCAGAGTTTGGAAAACGGTTGCAGACCGCTCCAGGGTCCCTCAGCCAGCACAGACATAGGTTATCTGGGAGCGGTAGTCTTTTTTAAAAATGCTCTTTATTTGTGTGGTCATAAAGCCGAGCTTGAGCTGAACCAGAAGCTGGCACTTGTCAAACCCCATCCGTTGATTAGAGACTATCTCAAAAAGCTGACCCGTGAAATTTACATTTTGTCTGAGGTATCCTTTCTCTGTTGCCCTTCCCATCCAAAGCTCACTCGACTGGGTTTGGAGGTAGCCTGGGAGCAGACGTAACACTGGAAGGCACTGATCATTAAGGGGCAGTGTCCCACAGTGGTCACACTGCTGTAAGGAAATCCACTTTTGAGCAGACGACTACCGAAGTGAGGACTTGTAGCAGGCATGCAACGTTAGGGAGGTGCAGGAAAGAGGCAAAGGGTTGCGGGTTGGGGGCATTTCAACAACAACAACAACAACAAAACTGGTGCCAGATGGAGAAAGAGATTTTCTTCATCCAGTAGGCCAAGGGACAGCCGGTGTGACACAAGGAGAGGACGACAATGCTCTTTGAGACCACGAGCAGAGCTTGTAAATGTTCCCCTTTCGATGGTCACACCCTGTTGGCTGAAAACAACAATGACTAGAATGTCATCCTCAAAAAGGCACTTCCTCTCTCTCTGTAGCAGATTATTAAAGCACACGAAACTGATTTATCTATCAGGTGTAGACCTGTGATTAGCAGCAGCAGCTTCCAGGGACCTCAGGCAAGGCACCGTTCAGCTCCTGCTGTCCAATGACCTTCAGACAGCAGAGAACAGGGAGCTGGTCTGGGCCCTTTCGGCACACAGCACCTCCCCATGTTCTCTGTGGTACCTTGGAAGGAAAGGGCAGGGGAGCAAAGAGAGCAAAGGAAAGGGGCTGATCTTTCACAACATTTGACAGCCCCAGCCCAAATCTTCTAAACACACCAACGTCAGGTTGGAACTGCTCGACATGTTCATGGCTGCGCAGGGGGAGCCACATCCGATCAGAGATTGTCCCTCCAAGAAAGCCGCTTTTTACGCCAAGGGATGGTGTGGAATAGAGTTGTCTCTTTCTCCTCCCATGTTTCTGGGAGGCCAAAAGGGCATGGTGGGCTGAGCGAGTGAGTGGGTGAGTCAGGGGCCAAAAGGGCTCGTTGGGACCCTGGGCCGACACAATCACAGGGAAAGCAGCGAAGGATGATGGATCCTCGGGTGGGGAGCATTAGCACATGGGAATCAAGTAACGCGGAGGTCCAAAAGGAGAGCAGGCCGACTCACCGGCACGTGTGCCCAGGCTCCCCACCTTCACCTTCTCCATTCAGAAACCACAAGAGTGGCCCTAGTCAACGTTTTTACATCGACACTGCACAAAAGGCACCTCGACGATGGCACCTCAAAGTGTGTGCAGAGTGCCGAGCCGGGTTCCTCTCGTCCTAGGCAGAGATACTGCAGCTATGGAGACGCCCACCTGTCCAGGGGTTGAGCAGAGGCCAAAGGCTGTCCCCCCACCCCATCATCCTTCCCAAGCAGAACCTTCTCCAAGGCACAGCAGGGGCCCCTCCCTCAAAGACCACACACAGACCTGACATGCTGGAGGGGAGGAGGAGCTGCGAGAGGCCACGGCCTCTGGGAGCAGCTGCACTCCCCTCCCCCAGGCACACACCTGCAAGGCAGTGCGGAGGCTCCCCCCTCTTGACCCATCATTGCAGCCGTCCTGCTCTGCCATTGTCCCTTCCTTTGGGCCGGGGGGCCGAGGGCGGCTCCGTTGTGTTCTCAGGGCCCCGGCGGGCACTCTTGGGGCTCACGGAGCCTTTCCGTGAGGGCTGGGGGCTGGCCAGCCCCTTCTTCTGAAGCTGGGGACTTGACTGAGCCGAGGAGCTCTTCCTGCCCGTGATGGGGCTGCGGGAGCCTTTGACCTTGGCGGCCGGAGGGTGGACTTCAAGGCCCTTGAGGGCCAGGAGCTCACAGTAGCGGTTGCATTGGTGGGAAGCAGCAAAGTGGTCAAGCAGGTTGGGGCAGCAGCTCTCCTTCAGGCCTTGGTACCTGGGAGTGGGAAGAAGAGGACATGTCCCAAGTCAGCCCTCTGCCATCCACCTCCCTCTTTCCCACCTGTTCCTATATACAGAGCCAGGAGGCCCTTCAGGATGCCAGTTTCTGGAAACCCACAGCAACATGGGCCAGTGGCCATCCTGGTTGATGGATTCTGGGAATTCCAGCCCTTAAAGTAACTTCTCCAATCTCTGAAGTCTCCACTAGCCCAGTGATTCATGTTGTCATCCATGAAAGCTTTCACCTGCACCTTCTACACCAAGGGTGGCCAATAGGAGTATGCCGTTCTTTTCTTTTCATTCCGGACTCCAACTAACAGAATTCTCCGAGAGTTCCCCTGGCAGAATTCGGGGAGTTCCTATCTATAGACTCACCTACACACATCTGCATTTTACTCGCTGGAACAAGCTTTAACGTCCAGGCTGGCGCAGGCCTAGTTCCTGTACAAAAAGGCAACTGCCCGAGTGTTCCCGGGGATGGGGAGGGGGGGTAGGTCTTTGTGGGGAGTGTAGTCCTTTGGTGGCTGCCTCGTATAGAGCCTTATGCGCAGGAAGACTACACCTCCCCCAGAACATGCTTGTTGATGAGTGGCTACTTACCCCTTCGTTTTGGTGGCAATTCTCACATTGGTGACCTTCCACCCAACACCTGTTTTAAAAAAAAGGCTCAGTTGAGGTCACAGAGCAGATAAGAGAATAATTTAGGCTGTTATGATCATCAGTTGAGCAATTCACTAAACTGTGGTCCAAGTTCTTAGCACAAGCTCAGCCAACTCTGCTATGCCACTAGCCAGACTCTTAGGAGAACAGAGCCTTCTTCTCAGACTTAGCTTGATGTGTGCAGAAAGAACATTAAAAGGGAGAAGGATTGTGTCCACTGACTCAGACGCCTGTGTCTTTAATCAAAGGAGAACATTGGGTCTCTGCCTGGACAGCCGTCTGTGCCCCAGGATGAAAGGCACAATCAGGAACAGAAGCTGCTACGTACAGTAGTTCTGTGTCACAAGGAAGAAGCCCTGTTCAGTCACTCTGAATTGCCAACAGATTTGCAGGGAGAAGGTAGAGCCCCCTGTTCTCTGTCCCTTCATTCATGTGCCAGAAGAGGAGGGTGCTGCTCACATCCAGACTCTGCATGGAAGCAAGAACCAAAATTGCCAGGATTTTCGCTCACATGTCAAGCTACACATGAGAAGGATTCTGCTCCACTTCGGTCTCATTGCTGCTTGTGCAGGGAAAAAGCAACAGGAACTCTGGAGAGCTTGGTGGCTTAGGTATCTGGCTGTGGAGTTTGATTCCTCACTTTGGCTCCTTGACAGGGCCTGGACTTAATGATCTATAGGATCCCTTCTAGCTCTACAGTTCTAAGATGATATTAGAAAGAGGGGCAACTGCCCTCTCTCATGTTAACTGTGTGGATGATTCCAGAGTTCAGAACAACTGACCAGGTTTCGCCTCTCAAGCTGAACCCCCACAAGTCTTGTTCTCATCACTGGCTTTATGCAGACTAGGATGCTCTCCCCTACCGCAACATATCATACGTCCTTGCTTTGTTTCTGCCTATTTTGATCTTTATTAGTTCTGTTTTTAGATGACAGTTTGAACTGTTTTAATATCACTATTCATGTTGTAACTGACTAACTACCCCATGCAAAGATGTGATGATTAAATAATGTCTCATCTCAGCCTTAGGAATGTTTCTATGTCAAACAGAACCTTTATGCCTTAATATAAGGCAATGGGAAAGATACTGAGTGACTGACATCCCAAAGACAAAGGAATCTACAACCACTTGAGATGGAACTTGCTATCTCAAAAAATCTGAGTCTGAAAGTTCATAGATTTCATTTTTCTATCTTAAAGTTAAAGACCTCAATGTCCAGCAAAAAATGACTTGGGGGACATTTCTGTTTCTCCCACCACTCCTCAAGCTCTGCCATTCTTGACCTGAGGAGGAGTCTTGCAGGGCTCAAAAGCTAGCCTGCTTGTGAGGTTTAGTCCTGAATAAAGGCATCAGACACTCTTGTATTTGGATTTTCCTCTCGGAATGAAAAGGGGTGGGCCTACTGCAGGATAGCTCCGTGACTTCTTAAGGCATCCGGCTGCAGAGCCAGAGGCTGGGAGACCGATTCCCCTCTTGTGCCTTCTTGACACGGGCTGGACTTATCCATCCACAAGGTCACTTCCAGCTCTGCAATTCTAAAAGGATGATGATAATTGAAGAGAACAGCTGCAAAAAGTAAAGCACGGGCTTTTAAAATTCTAGGGCCACAAGACAACCGCTGTCTTTTCTAGCGGCAGGGCTCCCACTTTTTAAGCTTCTGTTCTTGACATAATATCAGCGACACAGTCTTTGACTCTTAACCTGATAAACCTCACAGGGCCATTGCAAAGATTAAAATGGGGGGAAAGGGAGCTGGGAATATCCGGAGGAAAGGTGTCACAGAAATGCAATCATCAATAAAGAACCAATGCACATTGCCCTGCTGCATTTCACTTTGGACCCCTCCGGATGTGCTTGGATGCCATTCCCCCATCATCCCAGCTTGCTGCGTGGGGAAGGTGGTCTTGTGGTTCAACATACCTAAAAATCACCAAACTAGGGAAACCTCACTCTGGAAGCCTTGTACACCCCTGGACTGATCTTGCCAGAGAGTAAGTCTTTCTGGCAATACTTACTTTGCCAGATGTATGGCAAAGTAAGTATGTATTCCATACATCACTGTAGTGATGTACGGAAGTGAGAGCTGGACCAAAAAGAAAGCTGACCGCCAAAGAATTGATGCATTTAAATTGTGCGGCTGGAGGAGACTCTTGAGAGTCCTCTGGACTGCAAAGAGAACAAACCTATCCATTCTAAAAGAAATCAACCCTGAGTGCTCAGTGGAAGGACAGATCCTGAAGCTGAGGCTCCAATACTTTGGTTGTCTCATGAGAAGAGAAGACTCCCTGGAAAAGGCCCTGATGTTGGGAAAGTGTGAAGGCAAGGGGAGGAGAAAGGGATGACAGAGGACAAGATGTTTGGACAGTGTCATTGAAGCAACCAGCATGAATTTCACCCAATTCCGGGAGGCAGTGGAAGGCAGGAGGACCTGGCGTGCTCTGGTCCATGGGGTCACGAAGAGACAGACACGACTAAATGACTAAACAACAACAACAAATAGGAACACATGGAGGCCGGAGGGGGGGAGGTGCCTCCAGAGAGCTTTACCTTCCAAATCCGTCACTAGGATGTTGCCGTTTGTCCACTGGTACAGCCAGTGCTGGAAAGTACAGCACTTCTGCCCAACCTCAGAAGGGTTGGCTGGAGCCAAGCCACTGCCATCTCGTTCTCGCCTGCAGTAGAGCTCAAACTGGCCCGGCAGGTCCTCCTCCATGGTGGCGTAGGGGATGTTGTTGGCTGGGCGGTAGATCAGGTATAAGGGCATGATTCTGGGGGGAAAGCAGGTACACGTCTGTTTTAGTTGAAGTAGATTTGAGAAGAGAGGACTCCTACATGGCCCTTTGCCTGATACATGGGACAAAGCATGTCAAGCAAGGAACCACAGAGCTTGGAAAAGTTTTCCTTTTTGAGATTGCAAAGCCCAGAATCCCCATACGCTGGCAAATTCTGGGAGGTATAGCCCAAAAAGTAATTTCCCCCCTCAAGCTCTGCATAGGTGGTCACGTGCTTACATGTCTCTCCAGCAGGAATGGACAAATGAGCACGTAAATAGAGGACTAGGTTGGAAACCACAACCACCACCCCCCGTTGAAAAATCAGCACTGCTTAGGGAATTCAGCGATCACTACCATGTCTCTCTCTGGCACAGGAGATTCTCAACAGCACAGTAGCAGCTTCTGTGACTTTCTGTGGAACGGCTCTTCTGTACCAAACACCTCTGAAGACATATGGGGCTGAATGTCTCCCCTTCCAGCAGCAGGGCAGAAAGCCCTGGGCCAGGAAAACCTTTAATAGGAGGTGGGAGGGTCTCAGCAATCAGGATGCTGGGCACTGGTGCCTTCCCATGGATGCCAAACAATAGCCAACCCTGTAGGAATATAGGGTACACTCTGTTGCTCTCCAGGTGCTCAACTCCCATCGTCCCCGGCAAGAGACGATGCTGCCTGTGGCAAGAAGGAATCGCATTTCCTTCCTGTGCCTCACTTGTTCGGACCTGTTTGCACCCAAGACGGGGCTTCCCTGGAACTGAGAGGTGCAACTTACTCAGGCACCGGCCCAAAGTCAGGAACAGCTCGCGCTTCTGCAGCAAAGATCTTGCAGTACTCCCGACTTGAATTCTGGATCTTACACTCCTGCAGGGAGCAGAACAAGCAGAAGAAAAGGTCCCTCAACTCTTCTTAGCTCAGTAGGTGCAGTGGAAGGATGGCACTGTGTGGCCGGACGCAGTGTGAAACAGCAGTGAGAGGGCTGGGCCAGGGACCTTGAAGAGCGGGGTTCACATCCCAGTTCAGCCATGAACTCACCTGCTAGCCTCGGGCCAGCCACCATCTCTCGGCCTAACCCACCTGAGTGTTGTTCCAAGAAGAAAATGGACCGGCTGTTGCAGCCCTGCTGACCCTGTCACCACTATCTGTATCTATGTTGCCATGTTTCCCTCTTCAGAATTCAGTGTTAGCTTTTAGACATGATTGAAAGGCTCTAACGGGCTAAGAGGCAGGAGTGAGTGGTGATGCAAACGTGTTGTATTTAATATTTTCTTTGTATTCTGTTGCTTCCGAATCAGTTTGTAGTAATGCATTTACTTAACATTTTAATATAGTTATTAATTCTTTAAAATATTTTAATAATTTACTGTTTTTAGCTTTTAACATTGCATTTTTAATGATGTAAGCCACTTAGGTTATTTATTTATTTGTTTGTTTGTTTGTTTGTTTGTTTGTTTGTTTTTTATGAGAAAGGTGGGGTAAAATTATTTGAAATAAATAATAGATTACAATTATGAGCCTATGACTACAGCTATTGGTCCCTACAGCCCAGTACTGTTTACCCCAGGGGTGGGCAACTTGTAGCACAAGAGCTGCATCTGGCCCATGGCTCAATTTCAAAGGGCTCTAGGGAGTAACCAGTTCACATCATTGCCAAGAGTGAGCTGTCCCTCCCAAAGTTCAGAGGAAGGACGTGTCAGAAAGAGACAGAAAGACAGACAGACAAGAAGGAAGGGTGACAGAGACAGGGAGAGAGAGAAAAGAGGTAATACAAAGGAAAAAAAGACAGAATTACCGTAGGTGGCCCAGTCTCCTTTTGATTCTTGATCTGTCCACCCCACCCCCCCACTGGCTTTAGCCCCCCCCACACACACTGCTGGCTGGTGATCCCGGAGAGACTTGCCCAAGGAAACATGTTTCTTTAGCAAAACGATGTCCCCACCCCTGATCCGTAGAAGTTGTTCCATGGTCTCAGTTTATTCCCCTGATGGGATACCTGGCCCATTTTAAGCCCCGAATACCCAGGGTTACACCTGGGACCTTCTGCACAGCCATCGTGGGCTCTGGCCCTTGGTGGGAAGCCACACGCCCGAGCCTCCTTCTGCCCACCTGGATGGTGATGTCGTAGTTCCTCTCCACCAGCGTGCTCTCGCTGCGTCCACCGAAGGCAATGAGGTTGTGGACTTTGATAATGCCCGTGTGCCCAGACTCAAAGACAGGCTCGAGGCCGTAGATGGCACGGGCGCGACACGCCTTCCGCAGGAAACCTTGGCCTGCCTCCAGGTCCTCCATCATAATCCTGCCAAAGAGCTTATCCCCCCAGAAGCCAGAATCAGCCAGGCCTTTGGCAAACACCATGGGTGTCATCTCGATCTCCTCACCAGCTGCAGGAGAGGAAAAAGACATGGGAGAATAAGGCCGGGCTCAAGAGGGCAGGCAAGGAGCACCACAGGTGGGGACAAGCGCTTTTAAGATGGAGGTAGAAAGTGGGGTGGAAGTCTACTAGGACTGAACTGAATGTTGCAGTTCACCTGTCCTTAAAAGAGGGGATGCCTTAAATGCAGAGAAATATCTGATTGTTCCAACAGGAGCTTTTCACCCCTTCTGTAATTTGCAATCGGACTGCTTCTTTGTGATTGGTTGTGTGTTTGCAAATGTAGTCGCATAACTCTTAACGATAGCTCCATGAAGAGCTACCCTTGGATATAACATCTACGAGCCTGAGTTTCCAAGAGGGCGGTCCATCTGATGGCAAGTAGGCAAGCAAGCGATTTGGTCTCAAGGAGAAGAAGCTCTCTCTTTGTGGTGAGCTTTGGAGCTGGGGAGGAAGTCCTCACTATTGAGCCTGAGCAAGGAACAGGCAGCCCTCTAGATGTTTCAAAATGTGCATCAGTCCTAGCCAGCACAGTTCAAGGTGAAGAACCTTGGGAGCTGCAGTCCAGAAACATCTGGAGAACCACTTGTTCTGTCCTTGACATCACCTCAAGCCTAAGTCCTGGGATGCCTGGAGATCAGGCGGCCAACTCTCAGGGGAGATAAAGGAGAACCAGGAAAGAAAGGACAACGGCTGATGAAATCAGGTGGTAAATCCAAGGGACCCAAGACCAGATAAGCAGAATGCCTCCCCATCAAACCCTTGGAGCACTACTGCGGAAAGAGTCTGGGGGAAGAGAGACAACTGAGGAAGGAACTTCTGATTAAGAGGTGCATTACAAAGGGAACCTTGCTAGGATGAGTCAGGATGAAGGAAGTCATTCACAGAGAAGCAGAGAGAGAGAGATTTAAGAATGACAGAAGGATATAGCTCTGCCCCAAACAAAAAGCATTTTCCTCTTTCTGATTTCTAACTTCAGCATGAGAGGGAAACCTGTCTTTTTGGTCTTCCTGACCTCTTGGTGGTGGGCTTCACCCCTGCAAGAGCCTGTGGGACTCAGCTGCGGCATTTGGCCACGGTACCTGGAGGGGCACAGACTCACCACACTGTCCCCTGGGCACAATTTACCTTCTATTTCTTCTTTGAAGATAAATCCCGACAAGACTGAAAAGAGAAAAACCACACGTTTAAACTGCAGTCCTGGGCTTCCACTTAACTAGGAGAAGACCACAGAGAGAGGAAAGGCACCTTCAGTTTGAACCAACCCTCATTCATGCACATGCTCCGTTTACATGCTGGAAGTCCTGCCAGGCTACCCAGTTTCCCCTTTTCTCTAGCAAACTCTTCTGCCACCAGACATTCAGAGGAGGCCTTCTCGGTGGTTCCTCACAGACTCTGGAACTCCCTCCCACTGGAGGCCAGCCTGGCCCCATCTTTCCTGTCCTTCCCCAAGCAGGCAAAGACCTTTCTCTTCAGACAAGCTTTCCCTCAGTGCCCATCTGCCTGAGTGGGTTGTAGGGTTTTTTTTTAATGGATTGTTGTACTCTCGTGCTTTGAATGTGTTTTAGTGTTGCTTTTCTTTACCCTTTCTAGTGTGGCATTTGTTTAATCCTTTTTAGTGTTTGTATACTCACTGTTATTAGCTTTAAATATTGTCTTTTAATAATGTAAGCCACCTTGCATGCTTTTTAAGGAGAAAGGTGGGATGAAAAGGTATAAGATAAAATAAAATAAAAGAAGGCAGGAACGCAGGGAGGGAGGGGAAGAGGAAATAGGCGCTCTGCTCTGTGCAATGCATCTTCAGGCCCTGGATGTGTACATTCCTCTGGCCAATAAAAGAAGGCAGGAACGCAGGGAGGGAGGGGAAGAGGAAATAGGCGCTCTGCTCTGTGCAATGCATCTTCAGGCCCTGGATGTGTACATTCCTCTGGCCAGGTCTGCTATTATCAAGCAAGTGCAAAAGCATTACCACATACCAGGGAAAGATGCCCAGCAGGTCATGGTGCACTTGGGCATTAAATCAGGCATAGCAAGAGTTTGAGCACCCTCTTTGCAAGGGATAGAACCGCAGGCCTTGCTGGATGAGGAGGAGCAATCGCTGGGTCTCACCTTCAGCACTCAGCAGGAAGTCAGTGGTATCTGTGCCATATTCATTCTGGATGGCGCACTGATAGACCCCACAGTCCTTCTGGGAGACCTGCACGATGGCCAGGGCTGCCTGCCCTTCATCCCCAGCACTGGAAGAGAGTCATCAAAACGTCAAGAAGAGCCCTGAAGCCGGGTCAGGGCCAAGCCACCTCTAGTCCCACAGAAGATCTCTCTTCCACCATTATCCACCCCCCTTCCCACCCAGAAGGGCCGTCCCTATGCCACTGACCTTCTTCTGACATCCGCCACAGGCACCTCATCCTTGTACCAGGTCAGCTTAGAGTCACTCAAAATATTGAAGAACTGGCACCACAGCTTCAGGTTTCCAGAGGCATCTGAGAACTGCTCTGCTCGGATTTTGCGAATTACCTGCGGCGCTACAGGAGGGGGAAAAAGTGGAGGAAGTGGAGATGATGCATCCCCAGAGGGATCAGAGCTACAGCTCTCAACAGCGCCCAAGCTGACTGGCGATTTGGGGGACTGTAGTCGAACACCAACACCCCAACCGTGTCATTTTT